TGGCGACAGAAGTAGGTAAAATGGTAGTACTTTTTAAAATGAACTATTTCACTGGAGCTCTACTGCAACTAAAATCTCGGAAATAAAACAATTTTTCAGATCTAAATCGCGTATATTTGTTTTTTGAAACAAACCAACTCTTCGGGATCATTATAGGTCCCGCGGTCACGGCTGACTGGGACCATGGTGCCTGTAAAAAGTCCAAAACGTTGGTTTGTTTGGTAAATAATATAGGTACTCGCTTTTCTATCGATAAAAATGGTTTCATTTAATACAAACCTACGAACTCGACCATAGATATGCGCGCCGCCGCCGACAAATGCAATCAGCGCGCCGTTCAGTTTAGTTCGATCAGGCACTCCTACGCGCACGCTTCCGTATTGTTTATGCGTAGTGAAAATGGCGACGCCAGAAATTTACATTCTAAGATAAAACTAAGTGACTTGATATTCGGAGATGTTTTGTTTAAAAACATTAATTTGTCTATTTCTGGCGTCGCAACGTTCACTACGCATATATTATACAAAATATGGAAGCGTGCGGGTGCGTACGCCGGTTAGTCTATTATCAGTTTAATCCGAAAAAAATGGTTTTATTTCCAATATCAATATTTTATATACAGTTGTGAAAAACCAGATTCACTATTTACATTAAACCTGGAGATTACACAAGAACATCCCTTCAGCGCTACGTTCGGTCGGAAACTTCCTACTTAGGCATCTAAATGTAATAATTAAGACCACAAGTCTTACTATAAACCGCTCGTGAAGTTAAGAGGCTTACATCCGATTAAACTTTACGGAACCCGTTGGACGACCAAATTGCAAATCGATTAAGCGATAAATAACAACAAAATCCGCAGAACTTCTTCCAATTAATAATAATTTATGTTGCGCTAATGTCCCGCGTCATTAGTAAGCAATTAATCAAAGGAGAACCTCAAAAAGGACATTTTGATAAACATCATTAACAAGCAATAAAAATATTTTTTCACATTCAAATGGATTTGAGTTATTCTGAAATACGTTTTTCAGTTCTGTATTCATGATGAATGGGATATTAAGTGGAGTCGCAGCATTCGACACAGTGGAAATATAAATTATCTTCGTTTCATAGGCAAGCAAAATACACTTGAAGTTATCATTGATTAAATGCTACTACGCATTTGCAAGGAAGACTCCGTCGAGAAGAATGGGTATTACACGAATTAGAAATTGAATTGTCATATGTTTTAGTTCCTACAAGTTTACGAATAACATTGTAAACACTCGTTTCATAAACATCAACTTAAAAGGCACAGGTCCTTTGCCTAGTTTAGAGGTTGCAATTTCATAATTTAAATATACTAGTGTTGTACCATCTTGAATTTATAATAGCTCAGGATGTAACCTGTTTATGTATACATCGCACTGCCATTACAATAGTGTTGTAACTCAAAATATGTGAAATTGAATTTTATATCATTACTGAACGTAAAACTTGATTCTCTACACTTCAAAACAACCGTCGTTAGAATACTGTAAGAAACAATCAAAAGACATCTACTTAACTCAAAATGAGACACACTTTATGTGAGCTAGTTCTGGCCAAAATAATCCTTATTGAAAAACATGAAAATATTTTTCCCATTTTATTGTTAAATATATTTGATAAATTGTTTAAGTGTCTATAATAACCCATAACATATAAATTTTAATGATTTTTTCCGAAAGTGAGTAATTAATTAGTTTTTCATCGATTCTGAGATAGTCCTCTTTTTGAGTTACAACACTATTATAATATCAGTGTGATATGTAAGAAGTAAAACATTATTATTTCGTTTGAGAAGTTTAATTAATGTTATTCACAGCACCGACAGAGACTTTACGGAGAATATATGACATTGTGATAGTATTACTGAAAAAGAAATAATAATCTCAGTACAGCAGAGTAGTAAAAAAACCGACCTCAAAAGTTCGGGGAATTATGCATCTATTTGCCAAGTTTTATTACAATTGGTTACCGGAAAGTGCGCGAAACCGGATTCAAGACTAAAATAACCTCTTTCCAACAAAAAAGAATCGTCAAAATCGGTTCACAAATGGAGTTAATATGTAACATACACACAAAAAAAATATAGTTGAATTGGAACTCCTCCTTTTTTTGAAGTCGGTTAACAAATAATATAAATTTCTTATATTGTCTACAGTATTTGCAATGAAAAATAGGTGTGACAAGGTGTGACAAGCAGTTGTTAAAAAATGTCATTACTTAATCTTTAAGTAATTACTAATTAGACATAATAAAATCATACCCCTGGTGTAAAGCTACATGGGATCATAAGTCAAAAATTCTTTTACTACATGAAAATTACAAAAATAATATGAACTATAATAATATGAATCGTGTATATGTAAGATTTTATAGTTGTGCTAATTAAACAAAAATAAGTTAACTACTTCAGTTCGTAGTTTTTAAACCTCTCTCATAAAAAGTTGTCATTTTGCAGATGTGGCCTTATTACACTGTGGGTGAAAAATCTGACGTTGGGTAATTTTCTGAGAATGTGGAAATTTTTCAGGAAAAACTTCTGAAAATTTGGAAAGATATAATTCAAAGAGATATAATTAAAGATAGAGAGATAATAATGTTTTATATTTACATATATCTTTAGATGAATTTTAAAATAAAATTGCATAAACATTGCCAAATGTAATTTTCTAAACACTGCTTGGCTTATTTTCACAAATTCTCTTAAGAGTTCAATATCTTCAGCTTTTGACAGATGTCACTGTCAAATATGGGGAAATTGCTACTTGCCTCACCTGGATGAACCACGGGCAATTATTCCTTCCCATGGTATATTCAGAAAATATGATTGTTGAATATAAATAAAAAAATAAAAATAAAAATGTAACTCCCTTGGCTGACTGGACATTGGCAGAGTTCTTCACGAGAAGGCCAGAAACTTAAAAATAGAATACTATAGAAATTATAAATAAATTAATTAAAAAATCAATTTTAAAGTATGATTCTATACATCATCCCTAAAAATTGACTTTCTACTAATTCAAATTAAAGATAAATAATTTTTGAAATAGTTTTTCGGCCCTGGTGTAGTCCTATTTTTCGAGATACAACAAGATCACTTTCTGACATCAATATGGACATGATATGAATGTGTTTTATCTGTGTAACTATCTGTAAAAGTAACCTAGTGTTACATCAAATTTTGTTTATGTGAGACCATAGTGACACAATTTTATATTATATTTCAGTGCATCTCTTTGCTTGTAGTAATACCTTCCTGCCCCTCAGTAAATATAAGAGTTTTGTTTAAGAAATAATGTATATATTTTACGTTTTTTTTTTCTTTAATGATATCTTAAACATAAATATTTGTTTATCTAAATTTTTTTACAACAAACTAATATGTTATTTTATAATAAATACTTGCTCTGTATTTCAATTAAATGCTACTGTATATTTGTAAATAATAATCATGATATGGGTACACATGGAGCTTAAGCACCTCATAGTTATAAAATTCCGCAGAAACTCGTTTCAAATTTCTCCAGCAGTTGTAAAACAAGTCGCTTAGAAATGCATGAATATTTAACTGCATACTACTGAAATATGTATATATTACTACTAGAACTAGTGTTACTAGCATTATACGTCTCATTCAACTTGGGTACCTAACAGACAATCACACCACTAGAAAGTTGCGCGAATGTACGCTTCATAAATGGGTCACTACAATTTTACATATTAAGGCAATAGCAGAATAATCAAACTGTCGAATTACTGCATGTGGTCATAAAAATAACCAATAAAGTATTAGTTTTCTAATATCGATCGGCTGTGTTGTTTCACACAGCAATTGAAATACAATCTCAAACTTACCCCGTGTGTGACAATATAGACTCCGATACACAGTGTTTTGTGTTCAGCTAATGTCCAAGATAAACAGTAAAAAATTTCACAAATAAATGCACATCACATTATTCAGTTAATTGTAAATTTTCGATATCTTTTTGTTCCCAAAAAGAATCAGAATTCGCTATTCGAGCAAAGTAAAACACGAATAGGGGCGCCACTGTGTGAGCAAATTTATGACGTTAACAGCAACATTGCCAGTATGAAAGTATTTCTGCTATATTAGCAGTATTTTATCATTACATGGTTATTTTGATAATTTATAGTCGGACTAGGTCCCAAAGCAGTTCCTTTTAAACTTACGAGTCGCGTCATACAACTACAACTGTCATTGGAATGTAGCGACAAAAAGGTAGGGTCTGAAAAACAGCTTAAGCTGAGACTCATTCCTTTTTATCTACACAATATATGTAACTATAGATAATGTTATGCAAATGTAGATAAATAAAGCTCTTTATTATTTATTATTATTATTACTAGATGGCTTAGATATTTCTTAGCCTAGAATATTAAGTAAACAAATAAACTTTTAAAAGGTAAATCATGACTTCTGTTAATTATAATTTATTAATGAGTTTGTAAATTATTGTACAGTACCTACTCTCGGTACGGAATATAATCTTTGTATTCATAATGTAGGATCTTTATTTTAATGAAAACAACACTGCGTTTTAAGCTAAATAATGTTTGTAGTAATCAACGTTCGAAATCTGTCGTCTAATCTATACAAATTTCTTCAAAAAATCATGCGTTATTTACATTGCATCGTGGCTTAGTGGTTTTATAAGGCACAAACCATGACGTTGAAAAATAACTTAAGAAGTTTGTAGTATCTCTGTTTTTTACCTATTTTTCAATTTCATTATTAATAATAATTTAAATAGAGGAGGCCATTGCCCACAATGATGATTTTAAAAGTTATTTATTAGTAGTTACTTTATAGAAAAAAAGCAAGTAGGTTATGTACCAAACAAAAAATACCAGTGCTAAAGTATTTATATTTTCATAATAAAGTTTATTATAAAAATATTATAAATATGATTAATCAATAATAATTTCGACTTATCGTTTATGGAATTTGAAAAACGAATTTCCAAAAATATTAACATATCTTATTTCTAAAAGATTTATTTTCCAATTAACACGTATTTTAAGACCTAATTTTATTTGGTCTGACCATACGTCTTAATTATTATCACCGCATGAGACACAATTTTCTTTAATTTTATGGAATGTCGGTTAGATTGTGTGTTTTTACACGAATTTATAAAAAAGATTATTAAATTTCATGTAATATAAGAATGTTGCATGAAATCTAACATTTTGCATAAATTCAAAAAGATGTTTAATAAATGCACAATTATGGTTTTCTACTAAAATTTTGAATTCTAGAATTAAGCAAAGTCTACTCCGGTATCTAATAAATCCCTGATGAGAACAGTCGCCTTCCGCGGCAGGACTCGCAGGAGGTGTCCGAGGTACAGCAGGTGCTTTGGTACTGAAGCTTCAGGGTAATTTCGACGAACGCTCTCTAAGATTGATTTTGCAGCTTCACTGGGTGATATTGTGCCAAAGTAACTAGGAATTCTGTAATGAAATATAAACTTTGCATTTCTTTTATTACAAGGACAAGTTTGTACTTGTATTATGTAATAATGTTTAGTAGCAGTAGAGCTCCTTGTGAAAGAATTCGTCTAGGGAAGTACTATCTTACCTATTCCTGACGCCAAGCAGTAATCTGAGTGTGGCTGCATTCCGGTTTTAAAGGATAATGTGCTGGTAAGTTACGGGCACATGGGACTTGTCTTGTCTGAGGGTGCCGGGCAACGAGGCAGTACCCCCGTTATCAATGCGATTTAAAGCTCTGACCTTGACACTGCAACTGTACAGTGGCCAGTCATATCGCTTACCACCAGACACACAACTTATTCGTTCTGTCACTTGGTATTATACAAAAGAAAAATCTTTTAAGTGTTACAGCTCCATCGAAATAATCAACGATTCCGCCAATGTCAGGTAAAAATGACTATGTACGGTAGTTTTGTAAAGTAATATAAAAATTATAGCAGACGACGCTAATTTTAGTAGCAGTTTCTAAAATTAGTAGCAGTAGAGCTCCTTGTGAAACAGTTCATCCAGGGAAGTACTGCCACCTTACCTATTTCTGCCGCCAAGCAGTAATGTCGCCATTACTGTGTTCCGGTTTTGAAGGGTAAGGGTGCTGGTGAAATTACAGGCACATGAGACACTGAGTGGCACTGTAACTGTTATGGACAGGCGTGTAGCTTACAATCAGGCACATGACTTGTTCATCCCGTCACTTGGTGTTATAAAAAAAAATTGCTAATGCCCAGAATAAATAAATAATATGTTGCACCTACACTTACCTTAGTCTCAAATCCGAGCTATCCGAGTTGACAATGAAAGGGTATACATGTACAAGTGTGACATGAACTCCATTTATCTTATTTATTCGCAGATCTTCCATTAATGATTCGGCAAGACCCTGAACAGCGAATTGAGCTACACTAAGTGGCATCTGATCTTTAATATAACTTAGTCCGGCTACTGATGTTAGAGCTACTACATGTCCATGATTCTTTGTTTTCATACCCGGTAAAAAGTGATCCAACAGCTGCAAAAAATCGTTTTTTTATTTCTTTTCAAAGCACTTTATAAATTAAACAATTTCTGTTTCTTTTCAACATTTCTTAAATGCAGTTGTTGGGTATGTCCTACTTACCCAAAAGTATGATGTCAATGTTAGGTCCAAAGTATCATGAATATCTTGTGGAGGTTGGGTTAATAAGGATCTCGGGCTTGGTATTCCACAACAATAAAATAACATACTGACAACACCAATGTCCTTTTTAACTTGGCTAGCCAAGTTGTTTACATTGTCTCGTTTTGTTATGTCACAAGTGTAACTGACAGCTGAACCACCATTTCGTTTTATTATTTGCACTGTATCATCATTATTGCTCTTATTTTTATCCACGCAGAGAACTATCGCATCGAGATCAGCCAGCTGGATGGCAATCTGACGGCCTACCCCACGTCCGGAACCGATAACCTGGAATTAAACAAAAAACGTTATTATTAAAAAATAACATCATATTTTTCACTGACTTCAAATAAGGAGGAGATCATCAGTTCAACTGTATTTTTTTGTAGTATGTTACGCGATAACTCCGAAATTTGTGAACCGATTTTGATGATTCTTTTATGTTGGAAAGAGGATACCTCAGTAGTGGTCCCATTTAAATTTGAAGAAAATATTCCACGTCTAAAGGTGGCAAACTAGGGGATGAACGACTTTTGAGGTTGGTTTTTTTTAGTACTCTGTACTGAGATTATTTTTATAATGCTAATTGGCGGGACGAACTAATAATGCGGTGGTGGTAAGCGACACGCATGTCCATAACAGTAGCAGTGCCACACAGAGCTTTAAAAAACAAAAATCTGAGGGCCACAGCCACTGCGCCTGACACCCATATCATATGTATCACAGTTTTCAAAATTAGACCCTAATGAAAGGAATGGTGACTTACCAGAGCAGTCTCAAGTCTCACAGGTTTCAAAGGCGGTGGTCTCAACAATTCAAAAATTGCCTGCAGAATTGCGTATATTCCGTTAACCACAACCCATGAAATGTCTATCATCAAGATGCACAGAGAATATGTTCTAAGCAACATCCTAATTGGAAACATGAAATTCAAAAGAGTTGCGAAAATAGTGTCAATAAGTCGAGATTCCTAAAACAAACAAAAATTTTAATCATAGGCAAAACAACGATTAGAATTGTAAGTTTTAGTAACTTGATTTCACGTGCTAACAAAACTATTCACATTCATAAAGTAGGTAGTGAATCTATTCTATTATGTTGGTATACTTACCATTGCAATTATAGGTTAATGAATCGCCATCTGCAATTAAAATAAAAACGGTGTTTTTACACAATTTTTTTTTATTCTACCTACTCACTTCAATCGTGTTCTTAATTATTACTTTCCTACTCAAGATAATAATACTGAATATCGAATTTTATTTCATCAATTAATCCAAATAGATGTTTATAAACAGAACTACTTACCGGGTACAAATAAAATTAATATCGTTCGACCTTTATTCGGCACTGTGGTATCTGTGTTTAATATCAAGCTTTCCTATTGATAACGATAAACACATTGTATTGTGATTGACTC